TCTTAAATTAAAAAAATAATTTTTTATATATATAAAAAGTATATATGTTAAAAGATTTTAAATTTTATATTGAAAAAAATATTATATTATTATTTTAAATTGAAGTATTTAACTAAAAAAAATTATTTTATATTAAATATTTTTTTTTGTTTGTGTGTATCTATATATATATATATATAAGGACTTAAAATTTTATATTAAAAAAATAATTTTTTTTAAAAAATATATATACTAAAGAGTTTTAAATTCTATATTAAAAAAATAAAATATTTTTTAAAATATTTATACAGTAAAATTTAAAAAGTATTAATAACCAACTAAAAAAAATAAAAAAAATGAATATCAAAGAAAAATTATATTTTTTTAAAAAAATCTCTTTTGTGTTCCTAGATCATGGATGGACCCACCAAATCAACCTGGTTTTGTCAAGTTATTACACCGATCAGTCTTTTAATATACTTGAATCGATTCAGCCACTAAATTAATCAAGTTTTGAATTAATTCGTCGGGCTAAATTTAATAACTATAATTCATTTATATTTATTTTGGTATTTTAAGAAGTTAAAATTTTTCACTTATATAAAATTAATTTTGTTTAGATATTTTAAAATGATATAATAATATAAAAATAATTTTTTAAATAAAATATATTATTTTAATATATTTTTAGATAAAAAAAATACTTTAACAAACAAGATTATCCTTCCGAACACCACTTAACACTTAACAGTAATAATTGTGGCATAAGTTATTTGAAAAGCATCGTGTTTTTCCATTTCTGAAAAAGCTATGGAAATTCCCTTTCCTTTGTAAAAATCAAATACCATTTCTCTTCTCTTTCACTCTTTTTTTTTCCTTTTCATTTCTCTCCAAACTTGAAAATTAAATTCAAAGTGATCAAGCCGTATTTTTTTACGGAAATGAAGAGAGGCAAATCGGATACCAAATTGGACAAATTAGATAGGTTTGTGTCATTAAGCAGGCAAAAATCCGCGCAAATCCTTCTTGCTGTTGCTGTTATCTACGTGCTCCTTGTCACTCTTGAAATCCCTTTTGTTTTCGACTCTGGCCCCACCTCTGAAACCAGCACCACCCTCGCTCGCTTTTCTGAGCTTCAAAGCGAACAAGTTTTGCAAGATAAAGATGCCCCAACTCGACCTCTTAACTGGGTTTCTCATAACTTTTCCCGCCGTACTCAATCTCAACTTGCTGCGAGCAAAATCTTGTCCTCTTTGGGTTTCCACCCTAATACCTTGGATCCCACTAAGAAAGACGGCTCCCTCGACCTCCTTAAAGCTGCAAAGACTGCTTGGGAGGAGGGGATAAAGTTATGGGATGAAGTTCAATCTGGTAAAGCTAAACTTTTGGAGGTTTCAAACCTCAAGAATATATCCGAAGCCTGTCCCATTTCAGTTACGCTATCTGGGTCGGATTTTTTGAAGCGAGGCAAGTTGTTGGAGTTGCCTTGTGGGCTCACTTTGGGGTCACATATAACGGTGGTGGGAAAGCCGAGAGCAGCACATGCCGAGAAGGACCCCAAGATTGCCTTGGTGAAGGAAGCAGACGACGAGGTGATGGTTTCCCAGTTCATAATGGAATTGCTGGGATTGAAGACTGTGGAGGCTGAGGACCCTCCTAGGATTCTTCATTTTAATCCCAGGTTGAAAGGTGATTGGAGTTTGAAGCCTGTAATTGAGCAGAATACTTGTTATAGAATGCAGTGGGGGACTGCTTTGCGTTGCGAGGGCCGGGGGTCTGAGGCTGATGAGGAGACTGGTGAGTCGTTGATTCGTAGTGTTTCTTTTGGTGATTGTGTTTTTTGGACGAGTTATACTTCTTCCTGGTTTGGTAGAGTGTTAAATCTAAACTATTGGGTTTCTTTTTATAAGACTGTATAAGTGACAGATTTGTTCTTTTGAAGGATGCTAATGTTTCACCTGCTTAATATTATGTTTGCGCATAAGAATTAGAATATTGATGCTAAATAGATATTTTGAGCTGCTAGGTTAACAACAGACAACAGTGCATGCAAGGTTTCCATCTCCTTTTTCTTTCCACGTCATTTATTGAAATTGCTATGAAAGAGACTAAAATTTTACCTCTACGTGCAAGTAATTTTTTATTTGAGTTCATCCATTTCTTGTTGTGTTTCCACCAAATTGAGCAATTCCTTTTATTGATTTCAGTTGATGATCAAGTGCAGTGTGAGAAGTGGATCCGTGATGATGATGATATATCAGAGGAGTCCAAGGCAACTTTGTGGTTGAACCGGCAAATAGATCGAACAAAAAAGGTGACTTTTGACTGGCCATTTCCTTTTGCAGAGGAGAAACTGTTTGTCCTAACTCTGAGTGCTGGTTTGGAGGGTTACCATGTTAATGTTGATGGGAGGCATGTCACTTCTTTCCCTTATCGAGCTGTGAGTAACATCCTACAGCTTATCAATCTCATGATGGATGTGGAGTGTGGAGTTTTTGTAATGTTTCGTGGTAATGATGACAGGGATTTACTCTTGAGGATGCAACGGGGTTAGCTGTTACTGGGGACATAGATGTTCACTCTGTATTTGCTGCTTCATTGCCCTCGAATCACCCTGGTTTTTCTCTTAACAGGCATCTGCAGATGTCTAGCAGATGGAAGGCACCATCTCTTTCTGTGGGGTCAGTGGAACTTTTTATCGGTATTCTCTCTGCAGCTAACCATTTTGCTGAGCGAATGGCTGTTAGGAAGTCTTGGATGCAGCATAGGCTTATAAAATCATCAAATGTGGTAGCTCGTTTCTTTGTAGCCCTGGTCTGTGAAAACTACTGTAGTGAAATCTGCTGTATTTATTGTTATTGCTTAACAAAATCATTTTGAGTTGGAGTCACTTACCTTCCTGAGTCAATGTTTGGACAGCACACTCGAAAGGAAGTGAATTTAGAGTTAAAGAAAGAGGCTGAATATTTTGGTGATATTGTCGTAGTGCCTTACATGGATAACTATGACCTTGTGGTGTTGAAAACTGTTGCCATCTGTGAATATGGGGTGAGTAATGAGCTATATCTAGATTTTGAAAAGAAGTTATCTTTGGGTATTACTTATATAAAATGGCTTTGTTTTTTTGTTTTGGTTTTTTACAGGTCCGCACAGTGCATGCAAAATATATTATGAAGGGTGATGATGATACATTTGTGAGAGTGGATTCCATTATAGATGAAGTAAATAAAGTTCCTGCTGATAGGAACTTGTACATTGGAAACATAAATTACTACCATAAGCCCTTGCGATATGGTAAATGGAAAGTGACATATGAGGTAGGCCGAGCCTATTAATTGCTAAACCACGTGCTCACCTAAAGTTGCTTTTGATCATTGTATTTAGCTTTATGTCGAAGGCCACTGGTAATTGTCGCTTGGTTGCATAGCATCACATTCATTCTAGATGTCTCATGTGTAGCTCTTGTGTGGAATGCAATGCTCCCTATGTGTATTGTTTGTGAGAAATAGATGATATGATCCTCCCCCGCCCCCACCAACCACCCCAAAAGGAGGAGGGTGGGGATTGGTCCCAAGTATGGTGTCGGTTTGATGTCTCCTCATGCATATTTTCCGTAGGCCATACTCTATTTTATGTCAAGGACTTTGTGATGGAATTCTAATTTAAGATTATCCTGCCATCTCTTCTCATTTGGTGGTGGTTTCAGGAATGGCCAGCAGAAGAAATACCACCCATTGCAAATGGGCCAGGCTACATTTTATCTTCTGACATTGCGTGCTTCATTGTTTCTGAGTTTGAGAGTCATAAATTAAAGGCAAGTAATTGGAATGGTTTTTATCTTCTCCTCTCTCTGACCCTCCCTCCCGTCTAACTGACTCGCACTTCCCATTTTGTGCAGTTGTTCAAGATGGAAGATGTCAGTATGGGAATGTGGGTAGAGCAGTTCAATAGCTCAATACCTGTGGAGTATGTGCACAGCTTGAAGTTCTGCCAGTTAGGATGTATTGAAGGTTATTATACGGCTCATTACCAGGCCCCCAGGCAAATGATATGCCTCTGGGAAAAATTACAAAAGCAGGGAAGGGCTCAGTGCTGCAATGAGATGATGATCAGGACTTCAGTCAATGAGAGGCCCAAGTGCCGGAATAGGGAGAGGATGATCACTAGATTAGGTGAAATGAGGACTGGATCATGGATGAGAGTCACCACCTGGGGTGACTGTCCTGAAAAACTCAAGATATAACAAACAAGGGAGACAAATTTTGCAGCCATATAGCATTGTATGTTCTGTGGAAGGGGTTCGCCTAGCAGCACCAAGGCTGTGAAAATGCCCTTTCCTAATTCAGTCATCTTTTTTGGCTCATACTTTTCTAGGCCTGAGGTTGGAGGTGATAAAGATAGGTGAACTATAGAAATCCAAGTTCTCTTACGTTAGAAATGATAGCAGAGCATGGTATCATAGGTTTAAGATCATGCATGACCCGAGGGTCAAGGGTTACTTAGGGTCAACCCAAGCTTTGGATTTTAATATTATTTTTGTAAAAAAAAAGCTTCTGAAATGATGGTGGTATGGTGCGCTAATTGACAGGAAGGTCTTATAACACGGCGTGGAAGATGATGTTTATATATTCGCAGTATATATTTTTGTATTTTCATATCGGTGCTTTCCTCATTCCTGGCAGTAGAGGATATTGTATACGCATGGATTTTTATTTTTATTTTTATTTAAAAAAAAAGAGTGAAATAAAGTTCATGTACAAGACGGCGTGGAAGCTCATGTACTTTTTCGAAAGGAAAAGAAATTAGTACCAAACTACAATAATAAAGTTTATAATTTTCATATTCTATGTTCTCTGGCAACAATGTGTGGCCACCTTTCAACTCATCATGTAGCTGACTGAGTCAACAACTTAAACATTTTAGTTGCACAATAGTTGCTTATTCTTCTTTAATAAATTCCAACCTATGATCGGTACCATCAATCAAATAAGTTCAAAGTTCTCAAGGGGGGTTTCAAGGTATCATACTATCATCGTAATTTAAAATATATTTTATTTAGAAATATATTAAAATAATATTTTTATTTTTAAAAAATATTTTTAATACTAGTATATCCTATTTTTATTTTAAAAAAATATTTTTAATACTAGTATATCAAAATAATCTAAAATCATAAAAAAAATTAATTTTAAACAAAAAAAATTAAATTTTTTAAAAATATAATTTTAATCACGTTTCCGAACATTAACTTACGGATATCCCAACAACTTTTTAAAATAATTATGTCAAAAACATGTATTCCTTTCCATTTAAAATAATTATGTTAGAAATATGCATTCCTTTCAATTTTTTGTGTGACTATAAATAACATAATAAAAAGTTAAAGTAAATGATATAAATTGAAAATAAATTCTATTAATTTTAATGTGGATTTTTTTTTTAATTTTATCATTTAATATTGAGTTGATAGTAAAGTAGTTTTATATTTTTTTATATTTTTTTATCATATAATTATAATAAAAAAATTGACCTAGTGAAGTCCATAATTCAGAGAGTTAATTTAGCGGGCTGACCAAGGTTGACGTGGTCTATTTTTATTATTATTATTATTATTCCTTCTCCTTTTGTTTAAATTTTTTAAAAATATAATTTTAATCACATTTCCGAACATTACCTTACAAGATATCCCAACAACTTTTTAAAATAATTATGTCAAAAACATGTATTCCTTTCCATTTAAAATAATTATGTTAGAAATATGCATTCCTTTCAATTTTTTGTGTGACTATAAATAACATAATAAAAAGTTAAAGTAAATAATATAAATTGAAAATAAATTCTATTAATTTTAATGTGGATTTTTTTTAATTTTATCATTTAATATTGAGTTGATAGTAAAGTAGTTTTATATTTTTTTATATTTTTTTATCATATAATTATAATAAAAAAATTGACCTAGTGAAGTCCATAATTCAGAGAGTTAATTTAGCGGGCTGACCAAGGTTGACGTGGTCTATTTTTATTATTATTATTATTATTCCTTCTCCTTTTGGACCTGTCTAATCAATAAAATCATATTGAAATAAATCTAATAAAGTTGGGTTGAGATTTTTAAAACTTGAACTATTGTGCTGAGTTCAAAAACATTACCAAAAAGTTTATAACAATATATGTATTATATTTTTATGTTCCAAAGAATTTGGATCCAACATGCAATGAAAGCACACACAATAAACTAGTCACCATCTATTTTTTTAGAAAATGTGAGTTTAATTAAACTTATTTCATCTCTTGAGTGAATTTTTAATATTGATTATGAACAATAATCAACTAAAATTTATATTAAATAGTATTTGTATTTGATTGTTGTTATATATCTATTTATTTATACTCGTATGAATAGTTTTGGTTGGATAGAGACTTCAGGGACCTAAGAACAAAAGTTCAAGGAATGTCATCTATAAGATAGATCATGCCCTTGTTACCTCACCCTTCACTTTTTTTATTATTATTTTTTAAAAAATAATTTTTCTTTATGTTTTCAGATGGTTTTGATATGCTGATATCAAAAATAATTTTTAAAAAATAAAAATATTATTTTGATGCATTTCTAAGCGAAAAACACTTTGAATCGCAACTACTACTACAATCCTAAACAGGCCTTATAACTCCAATACTTTCTCATCTATCTCTGTCTCTTATCTGGTCCTGTTCACTTGCAAGAAAGCTAACCTTCAAGCCCCATCAAACAATCATTCTGCCTCTATTTTTTTCTGCAAGTCTTGGTGGAAATTAAGTAGTCCTATTTTGCGTCATTATTCTTATAATTTTAAAGTATTCTTAAATGACTTAAAAACTTATTTAATGATAGATTCCTACTATAACAAGGACAAAATAATTGTTTCCATACACCATAAAGATTCCATATTAATATAAAGTTTATATCACACATGGAAATTATATTGTTGCCCATTAAATATCCTTACAAGACTATAAAATTTCCAAAATCAGTTATCACATCATTATAGAAAAAAACTCTCAACTAAATAGGAAGTCCACAAGTCAAAAGAAAATAAATAATAAAATTCATATAGCCTATATTGACCAGTATTGTAATGCTTTTCCAAACTCTGATTGATCTAAAAGTTTAACCCAAAATAGAACAACATGTTAGGAGACTTCATGTAAAATTTTAGACCGATCAAACAGTCAAATTAAGAATTATAGTTGTTGCTGTGAAACTGGACAGTTGCATATTTTACGTCAGAATCCAAATCTTATTGTTTTTTTGTTGCTTGAATTGTATCATTCCCTATCTTTTCAAAATGAATCATCTTTGAATCATTAAGAGGGATAATGGATATAGTTTTAGACTTTTTTAAAGCTTTAAAGTTCTTTTCTTACCAACTACTTTGGATGAAGGTAGCGACCCTTCTCTTTTGTCTATCATCATTGCAGTGTTTTTGCTCTTCTCTTTCTGAAGCTTGGCAGGCAACGACTAATGTCGTCAACATATGAAGTTCTCCCTTAGAATATGGGATAGACTCTTGGTTTCTTTTTTCAGAACACTAATCCTTTTATTTCTCATGTTTTTGTTTTTACCTTCCGCATCAATTTTTCTTTGTGTTGTCTTTATTTCAAGTCTGATCTTGTTTCAAATCATTTTCAGTCAGATTGTATTCTTCCTATATTATTCTTTATTAGTTGTACTGAATTGAATCTTTTAGCTCTGATACCAAATGATGTGAACCTCGTGATCACGTGGTCACGCAACCTACATACAAAGATAACAATTCTCAGAAAGCCAAGTAAATCAAGTTTATTAAGAGTGTGATACAAAGATAACTTATACCTAGACACCAATATTATTAGAAATGGAAACCTCCACCTAACGGATATTGATTCGCGAACAAGAAGTGTATGGATGAAACCATGAAGTTAGTTGTTCTTCGATAAGTTGTTTTTCAGTTATTTAGAAAACCAAGAAAAGGAGATTATCCCACCAACACATAACAAGTACGACAAACAAGAAATTTTATTAATCTGAATTGTGTAGCTTATATGTTTGATTATGCCTTTATTTATAATGACTCTAGATTGAAACAAACTCTAATGGACCCCTTATGTAGACTTATATGATGTCCACTTACAATTAAACTTAAATAATATAAAGAAATCCTAAACTAAGAAGAAAATAATAATAATAACAATAATAAATCTAAATGTAATATCTTAAATATGATAGGATTAGATTTATTTCCTTTTAGAAGTTTCATATAAGTGAGGAGAATCAAATTTGAAGTTGTCTCCTCTTTAGTTTTCTTATTTGCAAAGTATTGTTAGCTGACTTGAAAATTTATTTAATGATAGATTCTTACTATAATAAGGATAAAATAATAGTTTCCATACACTATAAGAATTTCACATTAATACGGAGTCCATATCACACATGAAAACTATCTTGTTGCCCATCAAATATCATTGCAAGAGTAGGAAATTTTCAAAACCAACTACCACATCCTTGTAGGAAAAAAAAATTGTAACTAAATAGAAAATCCATAAGTAAAAACAAGTAAAAAAAAAATTCATATAGCATTTGTTGACCAGTATTGTGATGCCTTCTCAAACTCCAATTTACCTAAAATTATAACCTAAAGTAGGAAAATATGTCAGGAGACACCATGTAAACTTTCATCCCTTTCCAACAGTCAGATTGAGAATTATGACTATTGCCATAAAATTGGACAATTGTGCATTTTATGTCAAAATCCTAATCTAATTGTTTTTTCATTACCTGGCTTGTATCATGATTAGTACTTAAAAGTGCATTTTTATCAAGGTTTTATATTATCATTTTGCACTTGAAATATCAATAGCTCCTTAACTAAAGCATGTTTTATAATAACATATCTAATAATATAAGATACCTTTAATTTATGGTAAATGTTCATTTTAAATACAAGCCTAACACATAAATGAAAGAATTGATTGATGAGTTTAAGAATTGAAATTGAAAGGATAAAAAGATGGTCAAACTTAAAAAAGAGATGTTGGTGTATAGTCCAAACCAGAATACTATTCAGTAATTGGGTCATATCTAGAGCTGTAGATATCATATTTAAGTCTACTTTATATAGATAGAAAGATAAGACATAGCCCTATAAATTATATATGAAGCCCTAGATTTAAAAAGGTCATTTGCAAGTCCAAATTATAGCAACAACAAAGAAGTTTGAATCTGTCTTGCAGCCCAAGCACTATTTTGAATCTGTCCTGCAGCCCAAACACTATTTAGTATTTGGCCAATTGACTTCCATTTTTTTTTTTCTGGAAAGCTGAGACAATTTTCTACAACTTTCATGTTCCAAATGGTTCCAATTCTGAATTTATCAATGATATTTTACGCAGACAACAAAAGATAAGGATTGTCACCAAGTCAAGAGTTGGTCACCCACTCATTAATTA